TCGCCCGAATTGTTAACCGAAACGTGTCACTGCCAGATCCAAACGAGTCACAGCAACAGCAATAAACGCACTTCCGGGTTCTTCGAGGAGACGCGCGAACGTAAAGAATATAAGCATTGGCTGTGGAAATCGGCGAAAGATATTTTTTACGCGACAGACCGGAGAGGCGAACGGAAACGATCGTCGAGAGATCAGAAACAAACAGCCGTCAGAGCCGACAACCTGTTATATTTCGTCGCGTCGAATCGCTCGAGAGCGTCTCGAGAATCAAACAAGAACGAACGAGAGAAAGAGAGAAAGAAAGAGAGAGAGAGCGAGAGTGAGAGAGAAAGAAATTTATAGGAATCCCGAAAAAGCTTGGGGATTTCTCGATACGCTCGAGACGAGTCTCGGGCTCGGTGGACGACGATTTGTTATTATGCCGAAATCTGTTAGTTTTTTGTCCTACATATTTAGCGTTAAAATAGAATGGGAATAGTAGAAATGCCGTTGTGTTGTTTTTTGTCTCTTTTTTTTTTTTATATAAATGAAGAAGAAAAATGTAAAAGTAATAAATGGCCGACGATTTTTCATCATCATCAATCATCGCGGGTGAATTCGCGCCCGCGTCCGTAGAACGAATGGTTTATCGAGGGATAACAAAAAAGAAACAAATGGAAACAAAAATGATACGTTAAAGGGAAAATATATTCGATTATAGCGCGTGAACGAAAAACTAAAGAAAGATACAGGAAAGAATCGGGGCGAGAACCGCCCGATGTGCGCGCGCGTCTTTCTTTTTTTTTCTAATTTTTGTAACGCTCACGCGCCCGTCCAGCGTCGTTTTCCTTCTCGGGGTGAGAATCGTGGCGCGAGCAGCCGTTTCTGTTCGCGCCTTCAAAATTTTTGACGAAAGAGTGGAAAAAAAAAACAAAGAGAGGAGAGAAAAATTTACCAATGAAAATTTTTGGCGAAAGTATGAATTTTTGGTCTCTGCCCTACTTTCGAAATGGAAAAAAAAGTAAACGAGTTTCGATGTCCGCTTCCTTCCCTTCGTCCCTCAGCAAAATTTGTCGCTTTTGATTACTATTAAATACTACTACTACTACTACTATTACTACCAGTACTACTACTACTACTATTATTACTCTTATTATAATAATTATTACTATTAAGGAAAACACACAAGGGGAACGAAGAGCGAGAAAACGACGCGAAACGCGCGCGTGAGCGAGGATGCACCGTAATCCATCAGCGAGCGACACGGCTCGACGAAAACAATTCCTCACAAATAATTAAACGAAAAAAAAATAATAATAATAATAAAACGTAAATAAATAAAGTAATATTATAGATGAGAGAGAAAGTGGGAGTAATGGTGAAAACGAGAAAAAACAAAACGAACGATAAACGCAGCGAGACAGATTTAAAATAATCGCAAATTTTTATTAACTGTGTAACTCTAATAAAAGTCTATTTGAATGTAAGCGCGTTAAACAAGATGAAAGAAGAAGCTATTAAGGAGAACAGTATATGAATATTATTATTGAAACGAATGAACTAAAAGCAGAACGACAAAAAAAAAAAAGAAATATGAACGATAGCAAAAAAAAAGAAAACATTTTTCACGAGTAGATTTCAAGGAGACAAAGAGGACTTTTTCTTGATTCGTTTATTTTTGGTTCATTATTAATTTGTTCGATAAGGTGTACTATGCGTTTAGATGCTAACAGAAAAGAACGGGAATGCGAAAAATGATAGGTTTTCCGAGCTTGAACGTTTCATGCGAAGTCAGGAAAACAAAAGGTAAGGAGATGGAAAAAAAGAGCGAAGAGTAGCCAGTGCAAAGATCGTATTTTTATTGAACTCTTCGAACAAAGAAAAGGGAAAAGACAGATACAACGATCGTCTGCATTTCAAAATTATTTTTTTTTTTCTTGTTTCATTTGCATGCAAATTTCCTTTTTAAATAAGAATTTCCACGAGAAAAGAAACAGAATGCATAACGAACGGTACAACAGACTCGAGTATATTTCCATCTTTCTTTTTTTTTTTATTCCTATTTCCGTGTCATCCTACACGTACACATACCACACAGTCCAGGTTCTCCTAATTTTCGTTCGAACGAACCTCGAACGAGTCTGCTCTCAGATCGAGCGATACGGAAAAAATTTTCCATCGGTCATTTCCTCCCGCGTTCTTTTTTCCCCCACATATTTTCCACGTTAACGCCGATACCTTTTCACCTTCCATCTGCAATTTCTTGTTTGTCTTTCCCTCATTTCCACCCTCGCACCCGCCCACTCCATCAGCAACATCCGCCCTCCCCCTCCTCCCCGCTGCCTCTTTGTCTTTCTCCAGGTCCCGCGAACGAAAATAAAAAAAAAGAAAATGCAGAAACGTGAAAAAATGTGAAACGAAAAATTCGCACTCAGAGCTATTTTTTTCCCCTCCGCGAAACGCCGTGTGACACAGTGGAGTGTGACAGGCTCTCTTATCATTATTCCGGGCAGCGAACAAGCAGAACAGTTGTGTTTCTTTCGGGTCCTGAACGTTTACATGCACACACACATCCACGCAGAACACACAGAAGACAATGAAAATAATAAGAAATCCACTTTATAATGAATTTACGTGTAACATTCAATTGAGGATTGTATGTAATTGTATATATATGAGTACAATGCAGTCCATGAGTTAAGATACATTCTCCTTTTTCTACCATGAAAACAAATAAATTATTCTAGTTAATAAAAAAAAAAAAAGAAAAAAAAACAAAAAAAAAAGTATTGTGTGCGTTAGTGTCTTTTTTTTTCATTTAACGCCAATTATCCCGATGTCCAACGCGAAACGACGAGACTGCATTCGCCATCGCGGACGGCTACCTGTGTAAACGAGTGTTTTATTGTTGATGTGAAATAAACGTTTCAGAAATCCATAGGGAGTTTGCTGAAATATATAATCCGTACAAACGTGTCGCATTCGATCCGCGCACAGCTATCGATCGTTGCAGTCGTGTTTTCCAAAGTGGAGAGGAGGGGTGGGGGAGGACCGAAAGAAAATTCGTAATATAGAAAAATCTCTCGTTGAACACGTTATTCGAAGCTTAACGGCTGCTAAAATTGCGGAAATTCTGTTTATTTTTAAAGAGGGGACGCATCTCGAAAACTTTGGAAACCACTGTGTCACGATTTTCTGTTTGCCTCGAGACGCGATTGTTCACCATTTTATTTTAAGTCTCGTTTTCCCGTGGACTGTTGTAGCTTAGAAAAATCCGTTCGTTTGAGAATGGTTAGTTCATCAATTCGCAAAAATGCTACCAATGCGTACACACACACACACACACACACACACACACACACTGTTCCAAAATAATTGTAAAAATATACAAGTACATTATGCCGAAAGAGATCGGTAAGTCCTTCGCCATTTTTCAGTCCGCGTCTTCGTGTTCGAGATTAGAACAATTCCAATTTATGGCCCTGATTTGTAGGATGCACTGCTTTAACCCTTAAGTGGACTCTCAATCTCGACTGAATTATTTTTCTCAATATTGATTTTTACCAAATTGATAAATAGAAATCAACTTTAAAGCATTTCAAAAATAATGAACTAATAGAGGGTTACATAAATTTTCAAATAATTACAATGACGTATATTAAATGATTATTTAAACTTACAGAGGGTCCCAATAATCCACTTAAGCGTTAACAACACTTCCATGAACCTTTTACACGAATTTCAATTTTATGGAAGCTCCCTGTTTTTCGTTTCGATAGTTCTAAATTGAACATTTTATAAACATACAAACATTGACTCTACATAGTTCCATTATTAAACAAACATGCTATTATTTTGAACATAATTACAATCGGGATCGACATATAGAATTTAATTTCCGATCGTGATTTTAGCGAGAAACGATTATGCCGAAGCTACGCACGTCTTGGAAGAAGACAGTCAAGTAAGTAAACGTTTAAATTATTACTTTTTGCCTTTAGATTATTGTATAATTTCATAAATAGCTTAAGTAGTATGTATTGTTTCCTTGATATTCGAGTTCAGATCAGATTACACTGCTCGACGTTGAGATTCTCGGTGATAAGGATGACTACCGTTCACTTATCCGATCGAAAATGACAAGCAGTTATCCGAGCATTCCTGTAGTACGCTGTGTCGCTGCGAGCAAATTCTATCGATCTGGCTGATTCCTGACAGATTTTGTTAATCAGATTGAAGGGTCGAATGAGTGACTATCTTTTTCTTTACGAGGAAAAGGAAAGGAGACAATGTTAAAACAATATAGGTAGTCATTGAACTGTCTCATCAGGGAAAAGAAAGAGAATATAACAGTTTTGTATATAGATTGGGGGATGAAAATTTGCTTATGTATTTTCAACGCATTAAAATAAGAAAAATTAGATGCACAATAGATTTTTGTTTCGAAAAACGGTACTCGTCTACAGTTTCGTAGTAATTTATGTGTATATATAAAGATGAATACGCGTACGTGGAGTTCATAAGAGTTCGGAATTCTATAGTTTACAATTATAAAATATTCTGTGGTACACCTTATTCGTAATTTTATATTAAAATTTAGGTTTAATTCTAGTCACTACAAATGTTATAATTTTATTCTATGCTGAATTGGTAACATTAAAGAATGACACTGAGTGACACTAAAATGGCAAAGGGGGTCCAATCCCCTCGAAACCTGGGACAAAAAATGCATCGATTCTATTGCTGAATTTCGTTCGTGCTTTCTACATTTTTTAATTTTACCTCCTGAAATCACTGTCCTTTAAACGAAGGGGTCGTTCTAAAACCACTGACCGTTTTACGAGGTCGATGTTTCTGTACATAGTCTGTGGTAGAAGTAATACAAAGGGTAAGCTTAAACAATAGTCGATACGTTCTAAATAAGTATTTCAGTTACGCGTTTGGAACATTTGTTACGGAAAAATTGCTCGGTTTCCCGGCGTATGTTGTATCGATTGAGCAGGTTTGGACGATAAGTCGCGTTATGTTGGCCTGAGCGCGCTGACCATGTCGCCCAACAACCGTTCCACGCTGACATCGCCTACCGTTGGTTTGAATAATAATTCTTGCAGGGTTGATCGACAGAGGGCACGCGCCGGGGGTAACAGCAACAACAGACGACCAACCCTTCGAGCATCCCTTTCGCAGAATACGGCGACCGTTTGCTCTTGCAATGTTGCTACCCTTCCTCGTTCGCAGAGTCCTCGCGATTCTAAATAAACAGATAATTATTTCATTACCGTTGATTCAGCTTCATTTTCTGTGAATGTTATTTCATGAGTATTCAATATAACAGTATTAAAATGTATACATTGTTTCATACACGAACAGAGGTACCAGCATTAGGCAAACGTTATATCGAATAACGAATAAAATCCATTCAGAAAAACTGTAAAAACAAGTAAAACAGTAAAGAAAGACATCTAATTGTATAAGAAATTGGGAATAGAAAATATATAATACAAATAAGGAAGGCTGCAAAGCACGTATTGCAAAGATTGCCGACTTTGTGGGGTAGTTTTTTTAGGGGTTGATATCGATCGAACTGCACTACCAACCCTGCAAAAGGTTAAATGTTTTGAGCGACCTCTCCGTTTAGTATCAGTGATTCGAGGAACTACACGAATCTCAACCACAAACGAGGTATACGAGTAGACCTTGCGTCCATATTTTTTTGGCCCAGGATTTCAGGGGTATGTGTACTCGCCAGAAATGATTGTAATTGGCCCCCGCAACCGAAAATAATTTTTCCAAAATAATTTGAAACTTTTTAATTTCGCTAAAAAGTTTCAGGAGCCTTGTCAATATTTCTTAAAAATATGTTTTTCATTATTGATAAATTCGTTTTTATAGGTATCCATGAACTCTACTTCCATACTAAATTTTATTGAAATATATTTACTATTGTATGAATTATGGTTGTTTCAAAATTGGACTATTTTTATGGGTTTTTTTTCACTTTACGGAGTTAAGGACCGACTATTCGAATATTTTTGGAATTTCTACATATTCTTGATTAAGATACGCTGCATACGTTTGCATTTTGAAACATTAAAATCTTTCAATCCATTCAGGAGTTATGGCGTTTTAAACGTAGACATGACATTTCGGGGAACCATTTCTGGCCAAAAATTATATTTTCGGTAAGGAATTTTTTTTCGATAGTGGGTAGTATTTTGGGGGTATGTCTATTGACCAAAAATGATTGGAATTGACCCCTGCAACCGAAAATAATTTTTATAGAATGATTTGAAACTTTTCAATTTTCAGGGTAACAGTTATGGTCAGACATTATATTTTCAGTAATGAATTTTTTTCTCGAAAATGCGTAGGATTTTGGGGGTATGTCTATTGTCCAAAATTGATTGTAATTGACCCCCGCAACCGGAAATAATTTTCATTGAATAATTTGAAACTTTTCAATTTCGCCGAAAGACATCCCTTGTCGATTTTCCTTAAAAATTCGTTTTTGATTTTTAATCATTTTGTGTAATGCCCTATAAAAAAATTGTCTAATACTTTTTTGTAGGTACCCATGAGCTTTACTTCAGAAAAAGTTTCATTGAAATATATTCACTATTGTAGGAGTTATGGTCGTTTGAAAATTGGACCATTTTTATGGAGTTTTTCTCACTTTACGGGGTGAAGGAGCCACTTTTCGAATATTGTTAGAATTTCTACGTATTCTCTACCAAAATACGCGTAGTTTGCATTTTTAAACATTAAAATCGTCCAATCCGTTCAGGAGTTATGACGTTTTAAAGATTCGCATGTGGGCTAACAAATCTGGCCAGAAATTATATTTTCAGTAATGAATTTTTTTCTCGAAACTGAGCAGGATTTCGGGGGTATGTCTATTGACCAAAAATGATTGTAATTGATCTCCGGAACCGAAAATAATTTTTTTAGAACAATTTGAAAATTTTTTTTTTAAATTTGTTTTTGATTTTTAGTAAATTTGTTTGACGCGATACGGAAATTTTGTCCAATACTCTTTTGTAGGTACCCAAGAGCACTACTTCAAAACAAAAAATTTCATTGAAATATAATCACTTTTATAGAAGTTATGGATGTTTGAAAATTTGACCATTTTTATGGCGTTTTTCTAACTTTCGGGGTTAAGGACCAACTTTTCGAATATTTTTGGAATTCCTACATATTTTTGATCAAAATACGCGTTGTTTGCAACTTGAAACATTAAAATCCTTCAATCCGTTCAGGAGTTATGATGTTGTAAAGATATGCTTGAACTTTCAGGGTAACATTTTTGGCCTCAGATTTATGGAATTTTTTTCTCGAAAGTGCGTAGGAATTCGGGTGTATGTCTATTGACCAAAAATGATTGTATTTGACCCCAGCAACGAAAAATAATTTTTTTTAAACGATTTGAAATTTTTTTTTCACTGAAAAATTTAGACACTCACCCCCTGTCAATTTTTCTTAAAAATTCGTAGTAATTTACCTCCTTTAAAAAGAACTATGGCCTTAAGACAAGCGTACTCCGAATGATCGACTCTGAGGAGGGTGCATTTTCCCAACAATTCTCTCAGCTTTCTCACTTCGTCGACGAGCATATCTTTCCTTTCAGACGACAAATCGCTGGGCACCAAGGTGGCTTCCTCGACAGGAAAATTCCACTGGGCGGCTGTTAAGACGAAAAGTTCGCTCCAGGATTCCTCCAGAAGAATAGTCTGGTCTCTGTAGGGCAGCTTGAGAGAGACGCACGGTTGATTGAATGTTTAACTGAACACTGGACGACTCTGTCTTGTGTAACCAGACCTGGGCATTTGTGAAATAACGTTATTTGAAATACTATTTCAATAATAAATATACATTTCTATTTAATGGAACAAAGTTGATCTTCAATTAACCTTGAAAACATTTAATAAACAAGAAGTAAATAGGAAATTTTACTACCTTATTCTATCGCTAAAAATAAGACATAATCTTTGGGCGTATTTATTATTTATGTACCTCTGTTATTTGATATAATTGCACACCTATTACTTCGACTAAATCTGTACGTTTTCAAGTAGTTTTGAAATAATATTTCAAATAGTTATTTCTTATTTTCATGTAAAATTTAACTTTGCTCAGGTCTGTGCGCAATTGATACACGAACTTAGTCGCTCGAACTGTAATAATGTCCGTTACCTTTTTACAGAAAATTTTATGAAATATTTACAATGTTACTGTGTTAATAAGTACTGCTTCAATTTATGGAATTGAGTTTGTAGGTGTCCACTTTGGAGTTTCAAGACAGAGTAATTGTAATGCAGTAGAGTTGACAGAATTTTAACTCACCTGCAAGAAGGAATGAATGCTTCTCGCCCATCTGACAGCGAAGAAGAGTAATTTTGCAGCAAATTCGTATATATTTTCCGTGGGTAAAATGGAGAAATTGGTAATGTATTCCGAGGACACGGAGTTGACGATTGGAGGTGCTAATCGAGTACTTGCAAGCTCCTCTGTAAAACCACAGGTATTTATACTGACCTTATCTTTATTGAACTATATACGAAAATCCTTACCCTTTGTCTCGATCCTAGTGTCCATCGATCCAGCTTCCTCGGAGCTTGTCACCTCGTCCTCCTTGGCAGCAGCCACCGTTAATGGTTCTGTTGGCGACCGCGGCAAAAAGTGTGCTGTAAATCGACAAAAAGATTCGTAATCCTCATTTATTTTTGCATTTTATTTGCAAACACTATTAACGGTATAATCTTATTTTATTTTAGTAACGAATAAGAAAATCAAAACGTTCTGTCGTCGACCCTTGGAAACATAGATCAAGTATGGAATTAATATAAATCTCATTCTATTGTATGTAGTCTATATTACTATACACGCGATTGAACAGTATATTATTTCAATAATTATATTTACATTATTTCACTCAAATAATTCCCGTAAACAAGTGATTTTTCAAATGTATATTCTGTTTTTTAATACTTTAAAATGATTATATATTAGGCTTCAAGATTATAGTTCGTTATAGATCAAGTATGGAATTAATATAAATCTCATTCTATTGTATGTAGTGTATATTACTATACACGCGATTGAACAGTATATTATTTCAATAATTATATTTACATTATTTCACTCAAATAATTCCCGTAAACAAGTGATTTTTCAAATGTATATTCTGTTTTTTAATACTTTAAAATGATTATATATTAGGCTTCAAGATTATAGTTCGTTATTGGGCAACTTGGAATGAAGAATCTGTAACAAAGTTCGTAATTGCATGATAAGGGGATAAATAATGTAAGGTTGTAGCCCAAAGTCAAAGACATTCTCGGTAAGGATACGACAACTACCAATTTGAAAACAAGTTTATTTACGATCGTTTTCACTCACCAACCGATGACGTGAACGTTGGCACCGTTGGCTTGAATGGGAACAACGCGGGATACAGGAGGGGATGATAAGGATTGCTCGCCGCGTGGTAAACGTGAGAAATTCCTGAGTACAGTCCCGCAGGACCTCTCCTCGCAGCTGCTACCAAAGACGACGTGTTCCGTGGAGCTCTTTCATGCTGAACCGCTGTGAGTAGTTATATTTTAATAATTATATTATTACTTAACATTAGAATCGTAACATAATAACTAAATCTTATCCTAACTCTAGCCACTACCCACACGACACTCTTGCAAACATTAAAATTTAGTAAGAAATACTTTGTATAGAGTCAAAATACTCAGTAGTGTTTCCCCTATGCAGTATTATTATTTAATATTTCTATACGTCAAGTAATTTGCTTCTCTTTGGTCCTCCAATCTAATAAATTTCTTTCATTTTTATATGTTTATATTTTTTATATATTTTGACGTACTTAGAAGCATTAAAATTCAGTAAGAAAAACTTTTTATTCCTGCAAACATATTTACGACTGATTTTATAGAGTAAAAATACTCACTAACGTTTCCACTATTTATTATTTGTTACTTTCGTACATAATCTAATAAAATTATTTTATCGTTATGTGTTTCTGCGTTTACATCTACTTGCTCTTTAATAGATATTGTATTCACAGATCTTTACTCAGTATTTCTGAAGTGGTTATTTTTCTCGGTGCTTTATTTGGATATTTTGTACGATATCCAAGTTGTTTCCTCTACAATTATCCCCAAAGTTGACATATGTTCTAATTAGAACTGTGACAGAATCCAATATAATCTCATTTTTAAGTCCAGCTGTTTTTTCTTGATCCCTATGTATTTCTTCTATATTGATCCATCAATGATACCGAGGCATTTCGTTATTTGGGAATAAAAATTCCCAATTTCAGATACAACGAAGAAATAAACGGTATCCATCTTGAAGTACCCCAACTCGCGCCAGCAGCTGCCTCAATATAAATAAAATCAATCTCGCCTGTTCGCTTTGATTCCCCCATTGCACTATTATTGACCACTTATTTTCATTTTTTTTTCCAGCTCAAGGACCCGCAGAACCGTAGACCGTTAATGGCACCTTTCGCGTCCCCTCTGTCGCTAATTGATATCCCCGCGCAATCAAGTGTTTGGATTATCCTGGCTGCCCTAGCCCGGGATGGAAGTGTTTACAAAAGCTGTGAACGTCAGGCTGCTCGTGACACCGCTCTTCCGCTCGTGTCGAGGCTAACTTTTCGGATTCTAGCGTGGGCGGGCGTCGGTATACATACAGATGCATATAGAGTTTCAGGTGGGCGCGAGGAGGAGCCTTTTTTTTTATTTCGTTCGAAGTGTCGCCCTTCTTCTATTTCTTCGTCGAAGCGAGAGAAACCTCTTGCATTGTAATGTCCTCCAGGCGATGGCTCCGACGTATATTTGCGCTGATACGACGAACGCGGAGGACGACGTCGATTCCTGTCATACGCACGGTTTCTGACAGACGATCGTTCAACCACCCCCCGGGGGGATGACACTCGCGGAGACGTTAACTTCGTCTGAAGACATTTTCGCTTAATTCAGTGCTCCAACACTTCCCTCTACTGTACTTTTTATTGTAAAATTAGACTCGATCAAAAATATCACTGAACATTGAATAGTTCGAATATTTTGCACGTTCACCCTTCTTCTTCTAGACAATTTTTTCGTATCGTTTGAGACTAATTTTTGAAACCCTTGAGACAAAGTTAAAATGCTTCTACTTTCGATTAGTATACTATATTATAGGATCATCCCATAAATTCGTGAAATTGTGAATTTCAAAATAGGACCTCGTAAGCTACGTTTCGTGAGTGTATGAAGTTCTGAGAAAACATAATGGAGGATAGGTTTCGTAAAACTTGGCGGTCGATGCGTGGATCCGATTGATATTGGCGTTCTCGTCTGTTTGATTCTCGTTCGTATACCGAGTTAAATTCCTTATGTGTAAAGAAAAGAATCTAAAGTCTTAATCACCGGTGAAACGAAGCGTACCATCTCGTTTCATGTTAACCTGAAGGCACTTGGTGAAACGACATGCCTGGCACTGATTGCGACGCGAAACGTCCACGATGCAGCGACCATTCTCCTTGCAAACGTAGTCCAAATTCCTGAACAGGAGAACCGAATGTTATCGAACCGAATGTTTTCTAAATTAAAAATGAAAATAATTACGAGATATCAATAATAATTGCGGTAGAAATTGAAACCAACAATATAGTATGCATTTTATTGTACAAGTTTACTCTTTGAATTGACAAAATAATACTAGTATCAATAATATTTGCCTCTTCGAACCAAGCACGATCGGTCTAATGAATTTATTTTTAAACAGATTTAAAATAATTTGATGCAAATAAATAGCCTCCTATTATCTTTCTTCCCAAGTTACAGACACTTTTATTCTCTAACAATACTAATCGATAAATCACAATCTTTTAATTACAAACTGAACTAGTCCAAACGATTGTACTATTTGTTCACAACGTTCGATAGCTCCTTGTTTTTTCTCAATGGAGATTAAAAAGTCAATCTTATGTCAATTTCTTGAGCAATCAATCGTATGAATAATCGAAAGAAGTTCCTTTAGATGTATGTCGCGTGTGGTTTATGCATAACCGAACGAACGATTTTCTAAACAGATGGGTAAGTCGTGCAAGATCTGTTGCCTGTATTCATACCCAGGGTCTAAATCTAATGGATTTTTATTTTATGCATTTATTCAATGCATGCAAGAAGACGAATCTGATAAAATGTCTGGACATTTAAGCAAAAGTTAACCATTTCAAGCACCTTCGCCGAAGGTAAAAAACTGTATACTACTACTGGATTATAAAAATGGTTATAACTCGGGAACAAAGTTGTATTTTGACGATATTTTTATAGCAACATTTTTCATTGTTGCGTTTTTAATTTTACTTAAAGTTCCCAGTAACTTTTAAATTAACGATGATACACCGATTCAAAGTAAAGTCTCTTAATTTTCAAAATACTGACAACAGTGGAAAACAACAATTTTTTGATTGTTACATTTACTATAAACTGGTTTTACTTTAACTTAAATTTACTAATAAACTGGTTTTTAAATTTGTGCACTCACATTGGAATAAGAGATCCCTCGTGAGACCCAAACATCTGGGCATCGATAAATTAAAATTACCAAAGTAGATTTTTTAACGATGTTTTAAATGATTTTACCAACGCAATGTTAAGTTTAATTTTTCTATGAGAAGACCGCATTTAACTTGGTATACACAAATTGCATAATTTTAAAGCAACATTTTTCACTGTTGCGTTTTTGATCCCACTTAAAGTTCCCAGTAACTTTTAAATTAACGATGGTACACCGATTCAAAGTAAAGCGTGGATTCCTCGAGACTCTACACGATTGTGCAGTTATTTCGAAAACGACGAAAGAGTAATTACCTTGCATACCTGCGGATCGACCGCTTGAAAAATCCGCGACATCCGTCGCAGCTCGGTACTCCGTAATGCTTTCCGGAAGCCTTGTCGCCGCAGACTTTGCACAGACTTTCGCTACGGCTGTTGTCCTCCATTTTCTCCTCGGACCTGACCATAAAAAAAAAAAAAATCAAACGATAATGCAGTACTCAGGGTATCCTTTCTTCGTTTCAACACTGAAACTACCAAAGTGGTCGAAACGATTCTCGTAATTTTTAATAGAAATTGTAAAAAAATTTACCATAGTTCTTTTATAAGAAAATGAATAAACACCTATTTCCATTGCGTTATACGTATCTTCGAGTATCTATCGGTTGAAATTTTTTGGTACAAATAAATACACCGGAAATGTTGGTAGTTAAGAAGTAAATAATGTTTCGATTATATTTTTGGTAATTTCAAGCGCAACAAAGGCGTCTAAACGTATTTTTTTTTTGTCGAATATAGCAGCCAGTCGTTTCACAATTTGTCTAGGTATTTTATCGCGTTCCATGAGATTGTTTTAGCAGGAATTGTTCACTGGCTACGGCGATACACTAATAATAGTTTCTCCTTTCTTCGAGGCATATTACTCCTCATTATCTGTCATTTTCAGCGGCGTAGCAGCACGATTCTAGTCGCGGTTGTCGTGACTTCTACGGTAATTTCTCGTTCAATGGAGGAACTTATAGTTACCGAGCGACGGGTCGTTGCATATTGCAGACGTATAATGAGAACCTTCGCGATTGCTAAACATTGCTCACCGACGGCAATGTTCTTACGACTCGGTGCCTCCAAGTTCACTAATGTTAAGAATATGTTAGAGCCATTGGGGGTTGATACAAGCTTGATGCTGTTTCAAAGACGTTTTCAGCGATTCTTTAATCCGTTTGCACCGTTGGCATACTTACGCTAATTTTTTCACATTAAATTTGGCAAACATTCACCACTATTTTGTTCACGAAGACATGCTCCGTTTAATAGCCTTGGTATATCGAAAATGTCTAAAATTCAAGTTCGAAGAGATTGCCATTGAAAAGTTCTCGGGCTGATTTAACGCTGAGAACACTACTAGCAACAACGCGATAAAAGAAGCAATACAATTACAGTTAAATTACTACGTCTCGGTAGTTAAATGAATCATAAATGGCGTGACTTCGATTGGATATATTCTCATACAATCGTCCGTTTAAAATCATATGTTGTTACCGATAGCTCGTAATAATTTAAATCGACTTCTAGCAATATTGTCCGTTTTGATAATTAATTCGAAGGTTTAACGTAAATTGCGGGTTAAATGACTATAATCCATTTTCAACCGGAACAAATAGAAATGTAATTTAAATGAACCAGATCGAGGATTGCAAAAGTTGAGCCGAAGAATCGTAGATTGCCAGCCACTGTTCCAAGATTATACGCTTGCCAATATAAACAGTATATCGAGTCGAATAGGGGTTGTCACTTGGCGTGTTTAGAATCCTCTATGAACAGTTTATTAAACTAGACGCCCATGTTTGTGGAAAACATCAAAGAGACGTCTTCTGTCCAAGATGTCTTTAATCTCGAGTACAGCAACTCTATAATCTATCCTTCCTGCCCGAACGCGTTCAGGCTTATCGTTAGGTGCACGCACCGTCCACGCAGAGACACCTTACAAAATTATAAAAAACAAACTCAAATGGGTGCATAGAAGCCAACAATAGCTAAAAAAATGTCTCACAAAATGTCAATTAAACTTAGTTCTTCACATAAAACAAAATGTCCGCGTTGATGTTAAACTGTAAGGATTGTCGAGGATGGTCAGAGGCGGATTCAAACACGTGGACAATAAACGGACAAAAAACAACTAATAATTAAAACTACGTTGTAAGCTGGAAACAATTTTATGGAAACGTAATTTAAAGAAAATTGAGCCAAAGAGTCCGTCAGCTGTCGATCACTTTTTTCAGGATTAAACGCTTCCCAATACCTTTAATAAAGACAGGGATTGATCAAAAGAGAAAATCGACTTTGAAAATTCATCGTGTACTCGTGTAACAGAGTACGATTTAACCCTCTATGGAGCGAATTTTTTTCTTAAATATAAACTTGCAAGGCATCTACTTACTTCTACTGATATTTAATTGGTTATCTCCGAGACACTATACAGGGTGTTCGGCCACCTCTAGCAAAAATTTTAATGAGCGATAGTAGAGGCCAAAATAAGACGAAAATCAAGAATACTAATTTGTTGATGGAAGCTTCGTTAAAAAGTTATTAACAATTAAATTCAAAAATTTCAAATCGTTCTGGAAAAATTATTTTCGGTTGCGGGGGTCAACTACAATCATTTTTGGTGAGTACACATACCTCCGAAATCCTATCTACTTTCGAGAAAAAAAATCGAGTAGGTGCTGAAATTTTTCGGCGAAAAAAAATTTTTCAATCGTTCTAAAAAAATTATTTTCGGTTGCGGGGATCAATTACAATCATTTTTTATCATTACACATACCTCCGAAATTGTACGCACTTTCGAGAAAAAAATTCCTTACTGAAAATCCAATTAGGTGCCTAAATTTTTCAACGGAGAAAAAAAATTGCAAATCGTTGTGGAAAAATTATTTTCGGTTGCGGGGGTCAATTACAATCAGTTTTTGTCATTAGACATACCCACGAAATCCTGCCCACTTTCGAGAAAAAAAATAGAGAAGGTGTGAAATTATTCGAGAAAATTAAGAAATTGCAAATCGTTGTGGAAAAATTATTTTCGGTTGTAGGGTTCAATTACAGTCATTTTTGGTGAATAGACATACCCCCGAAATCTTGCGCATTTTCGAGAAAAAAATTCAGTAAGGGCGGCACTTTAAACGTTAATAACTTTTTAACGAAGCTTCCATCAACAAATTGGTATTCTTGATTTTCGTCTTATTTTGGCCTCTACTATCGCTCATTAAAATTTTTGCTAGAGGTGGCCGAACACCCTGTATAATTAAGACGTATACGTGATCTTGTGAAAAAAAACTAAAATTATTTGACCTGAACTGACCCATAGGGGGCTAAAGTAAACCTGTATAATTCGATTAAATCAAACGGTGTTTTAATCAACAATTTTAATAATAACCACAAAAGAAAGAGAAAATAAATCGATTTGTACCTGTTTGGATACGCCCTGTCTATAGTGGGGGAAACATAATCGTATTTAGAATCGAGCAATTTTCTCGAAACAAAAACCAAGAAAAATTAAAAACCAAAGAACGTATGTGTGTCCCAGTGTTCTTTATATCGAACAGAGGTTGTCGCTTCTCGTGTTCGTAATCTCCCTTGAACAGCTCTATTAAACGACGCGTAAGCGTTCAAAGGGACGATCAAAGCGACGCGTTCTCTTCGAAGTGTCTCCAATTTGAAGCACGGATGGTTCTCAGACAGCGGATACGTCGAACCTTCGAATAGAAATCAGAAAGTCGCGGTAGCCCGAAGGTCGAGTTAAAATGCTTCTCCACCGTGGTGGTGACTTTTGCAACCCCTTTCGAACCAGCTCACGGTTCTCCACCTCTTCGTTCTCCGTGTCCCTTATCCCCGACAAGAGGACACCCTCTTTGTTGAGGCCCTCGGGGCGACTCTGCCGCGGTCTTTCTCGGTCTAACAGGACGCCGGGCCACCTGTAGGGTTCTCAGGCTCAATAATGCATCGGTGACGTGGAGCATCGCTCAGCCTTATCGGGCGGTAAACCACCAAGAGTCCTGGTGGATGATGCCATGCTTCGTCGCACCCTTCGTCCCGAGACCGGTCTCACCGACACCGTCATTTACTACCATCGCCGTCGGCCCCCGCAAAGATCTTGACTGGAGACTAACTTCTTAATAGTCCATTCTCGAGTCTGCAGGGCGATGGGTCTCCCTTTTATTGTTCGATGACCACTTTCCTCCCGCGTACGCGCAGGACGGTTTCATCGAGGGCATCGATAACGAAATCATCTTCACAACTGATTCCTCCTTGCCTCGACGATCAGTATAATTGAGAAACTATCTCCCACAATCGTGTCTCGAAACACAGTCGCTGACAAAATTAATTGGACAGGCAAAGGAAATAGTTTATTATATATCTTTATAGTATGTAGATTATTCAGCGAATAATTGAAATTAATATTTACATTTGTATTAAAATAAAGTATGCTCAATGAAAACGTTGGTTAATTGTCGAGGGACAAAAGTAAGTGAGCACTCGTTCAAGATCAAATCTAATAACTATTCTCAAATTAACTATTTGGTTGGTGTGTTATATTTGCCAGTAAGAAAAGAATTTTGAAATCAAATTCATAATTTATATTATAGAATCAAATGACTACCGAAAGAAACATTTATTTTTCTTTCGTTAAAAAGTTATTTTTTTGAATTTTTTGGGTAGAATATTCTTTAGAAAACGCATAAATTGGTACAAAATTATCTCTGCTTAAATACTTTAACGAAATTAGCGTTACCGATCGCCACGAGCCCTGAATTATACACTTACCGATATCGAATGAATTCTACACGACGTTAAAGGAAAATTACGCGTTCGTAATTAATGAGAAAGCGACTATTGTGCCCGAGCTGTTGGTTTGTTAGTGTGCACTTAAGTGGGAGCGGATTGTTTGACCCTGTTTGCATGAACGCCTACCGCGTTTATGCACGCACGTAACATATGTTGTGCTTTGCACGGACACGAAATGTCTGGTATATCGTACACGATCGCGGAAAGTCAAGTTCTGTTCTTACTGTCAAGCAGTGTCCGACGCAATTTTGCTTTGACAACGAATAAACGGATAACTCCTTTCTTTGTCCGTAAACAAACGAGGACGACGGACAAATAGAATTTTATTTGTTACTGAAAATATTTGCATCTTTGGAATATATCGTGATAGATTAATTCAAATATAAAGGCAGTCCAGAGGTAAATAATAAACATTTACCATGGTCGCCTCGCGTTTAAAGCAATATTTCAAACGTATCGAATTTTATAGAGGAACTCGAGGAAACTTTCATCAAAGTCAAATTTCCGGTAGTATTCTCTTCGACGATCGATCTACATTTTTTATGCGAAAGGTTGCACGTGACGTGACGATGAAAAAAATTTGCATAGAGTCTGTCGAATTTTCGTC